TAGCGGGGTTCATGATTGAATTGATTGAATTTCAAAGCACATTTGTATGGCCACAATTATAAACAAATTTTTGAAATTTAATTGAAATAATACAAAAGTTGTTGCAACTTTGTTTTGATTTTGATTTTCCTTGTCTTCTTCATTTCAAAACCTTCCAAACCTCCTTCAGAAGTGGGTTGAATCTCAAAAACTTCATCTTGACAAACAATACAGACTAGAGTCTAAGGGCGGCTTCGCCGCCTGCATCCATTTCAGTAAACTATACCTGAATCAGTACATCGAGTCTAAGACTAACTTCAATCAAATAAGAGACATCGCTTTCAAGATGAATTCAACTTTTATTTCATTGAGTGCCAGTATCTACCCTAACAAACTGATGTTAAATGTAGGACGAATGCTTATAACAGACTCTCTACAATAGACCCTACATCTCCCCACCTCCCTTTCGCTTCATCTTAGCCGACGCCACAGACTCAACCATTTTTCCTTTTCCTTTGATATCAACCAATAATGCTAAAGGAACCTCTTCTTCAGATTCAACCACGCTTCCTTGAGTTAAACCGCTGCTGGTCCCTTGACCTTGGTCCACTATAGTTCCAGATTGTATAGAGTTGCTCCCATGGTCTTGTTCTTGCTGTTCTCCAACCGGAAGTGTCCCTTTCTCTTCAAAAGTGATGCTAGAGACCAATGTCAGCCAATGAATGTTAATACAAGAAATTGTCAACTTACAACTTTCGTCCTTTGTTCACGGGGCTAGATTTCGGCGTGACAGTTTGTCCCTTAAGTGTAGAGGTCTGAGTTCCAAGGCCAATTGGACAAACTGTGAGAACCTAAATAAAGCACGTCTATCAATAGCAGTCTCTCGTTGAAAATAGATTTTTTCTGACCTGTATTATGGCCATATGATTTGCCAAATCCCATCCCGCGAGAAATCCGTCAAAAAAGAATTCCCGACCACCCCGGAACATGGTATGAGTGTTGACCAACTTCGGCGTACTTGGTACTATGTACTTGACGTCGAAAGATTTAACTTTGCGCTCCTAAAGACCTAGGTCTCAGCATTAGAATTTGGGTTTAGATTTAAATGGTGGGCCAGGACTCAACTATAGGATGCCAATCGCTGTGATTCACCACGAGCCTGAGATCTGGCTTCTTTGACACTTGGAGATCTTCCTCTAGGCTCTGATTAGGCGTTAGTACCGATTGGACTAAACCTATGCCTGAAGTAAAGACTTTCCGTCCTTCATCGTCCATATGATTTGCATCGGAACAGACTCGCGTAGCCATATCTTGAAAATAATTTAACATCGGAGGGGCAGGCGTATTCAAAAGTAATAATTTGCCACTCAAATCATATATGAAACCTAGTGGAAGTTTATGCTCGATTGAAGCATTGGTGATAAGAACTAATCTATAGTCGACTGCCTCATGCGAATGACATGTGATGAAGCTTGGTGTTGAGATTATTCCATAAACCTGTCCTGGTCGAATCTTAGCATCGGACTGAATGAAGGAAGTAGTCAGCTAGGTCCTACACAGGATGCATCAAATCCCTAACCTCTTCCAATGGTTTAAACTGATGTCGACAAGATAAAGATCGATTGACAACTTTATCCTTTTCCGCCATTGGTCGAAATGGTTAGTTATAGAGGTGTGTGTGTCGGATTGATTCCTAGAGCCGTTGGCTTATTTAAATAAGACTCTTACCATTGGATCCCAAGACATAGGTTTGACAGGAGACCCAGGACCACGGATTGTGTTAAACTACACTAAAATTGACCGTTCATCCCTGTCCCTTCTCAGGCCAGGGACCCCCTGGCCCCTAGCTCACGTTCAGTGGATTTATATTACAAGCCAATTGATAGTCCCCAAGTAAGGAGTTAACACAAGTATTTCAACAGTCTCAACCAATGTACTAAATAAGAACAAGACACCGAGCGCAACCGATTGTCCTTAAACTGGGACAACAAAGCCTCTAAAACCTAAACGCGCCCAATGCTTGGTGCGTACATCCTCGCAAGGGACCACAACTGTTGCCTGCGTTCAAACCATACAATCAGATCCTGAGAATGCCAAGTTTCAAATCGACATTCAAGTCAACATACCTGCAGAAACATATACAATCCTTGTGACCGGATCACTCTACCATTGACCCAAATCTTGTGCCCGACTTCAACGTCTGGCCCATACATATCTTTAAATCCAGGGGCAACGACCTCAAACGACGCCTTGCGACCAGATCATAACATGTATTAGCCTCTATTCTTGACCTACACATGATATTAGTGTATTCTTTACGTACCACACAAGGCCAAAGAAATTTTGCTTGAATCGTCGGCTGAATCTGGGATATGACCAAATCTCCGCTGATGTGTGGGGCCCCTTCGTTCCGCATATAACTGGGGCATGTTTTGTCCCAGTATGAGACCGTGGCTTGAACATCGATAATCGAAGAGTTTGGGCATAGATTGAAACTTCCGTAATATGTCAACCATTGGCCACCCCCGTGATTTCCAACGGAAATTGGTCTAGCTGTGATCTTATAAGTTGGAATCAATGATTGGTTCCGACCTCTCCCGGTTGGAACAGTTGCATCTTGAAATTGAACTTCGATAGACCCGTCAGAATTGATTGAAATTGGCCCATCGATTCGGTGAGATCCGCGAATAATATAGGAGTTACGCATTGAACTGCACCTCAATAAATGTATAAGTGTGATATGAGATTCTTGCTGAAATAGAATTGGAAGGCTAAATACAGTGGGAGAAACTTGTTCCTTTTAACATCCCATGATTACTAAACTCCTACCTTAGTCGCGGTGTTTTTAATCTTAAATTTTCTCAACATGGGCTATGACTTAGGCAACTGTGTTGGACTTGAATTTTGCAAAAGTAAATTTAAAAATTTTACGGTATTAGTAGTTCCTTATCCGCTCCAGTGTATGCAGAAGTGAGTGGCCATTATAGGCAAGTGATCCCAATAACAGTTTTCTTTAACTTGATAAATAGCTTTTCGAACTCTTAATTCCATTACCTGGGAGGAAGCAAAAGTGTGATGACTTGTCGCCTGTTAGATCGAGCAGCAAAAACCCTTCCTTGTGATCGATAGGAAGAGAGGTGATATACCTCAACGATATTGAGTTTTGTCTCAAAAACCAAGAAAGATGGGATACTCCCCACCAACCTTAATAAGGTCTTCAAGCGGAATTTGAGAGTTGCACAGTATTTAGTCATAATATAGGCTAACAGCGAGGTTGCGGGTTCAAATCGAATTGGTGACTCAAACTACAAAGTCATCACCTCAAATGGATAGGATCCCTCCAGTAGGGCAGTGCACCATAACCAGTATTCCATATTCATCTTATGACACTTTCAAAAGGCCAGTATTAGGATCGCTTCCTTCCCCTGTGGATATATCCAGTGGGACTAACCATTAGCAGGGTACCTACCAATCCACAGGTATCATTGTTAGGTTTTATGAGGAACGGCCTACATTTATCCGGATTAGGCGGTGTTGTAGCGGCCTTCAAAATCAGTCTCATGTCTTATCTTGGACACCTCACCACAGTCACCATATGGAGGGGAAACCTCATTTGCGATTTCCAAATAAAGGGAATGAATTTCGGTGCAACTTACTTCCATTCTAACCTATGTAGATTTGAATGTAGTAAGTCACTGCGGTGCAATTCTCGAGCTCAGCGGGTTAAGTCTGCGTGCTTCTTACTATTCAAGCTTAAACTCAGGTGTTAGGAACAGTTTTAGGCACAAACTGTAGTGAATAGGAAGTTATACCGAATCACAAAGCGGTCTTGTCTGGTAAATCTAGATTGCTTCGAGCGAAGTCTAGCCATTCTTTTCAAATTCTTTGAAACGAGCACAAGCACAGCAGTTTGTGAGCCAACTATTGGTCTCATCACGTGCGACTGATGTATGCAGACCTTGGACCCAGTGCATGACCTTCATTCCGACTCTGAGGCTGTATCATTCTTCATCATCAGCAGGGCAGCTTGATGCCCTGATGTCTCCTAATAGCCAGACGCTCAACGTACCTCAACAGCTGTTGATCCCCAGAGGCTGGGAGTATAATAACTTGGCTTCTTTTGTCTCATCCCAGCCTCATTATTCCTCATCATTCGCTACCAAGTCTTTCCTTACAATCAATAATTTAGTCGAATTGCCTTCAATTTCCACTTTTTACAAACATAAGACAATCAAAGGAAGAACATCTGCCGTAAGACAACTATTCGTGATACATATTCAAATGAAGATTTGTCTATGAACTACGTTCAGTATTGAAGAATCAGTGTGAACTTGGACTACATGCATATTTTTGGCATTTTGAACTCGGGATAAACCAACATAAAGCTGGCCATGCGCAAATACCTGCGAGGTTAGCACCAAGGTGACGAAGTTCATGCTTTGGCCTTGGCATTTATTTATGGTCATAGCAAAGCCTAACATTACTGGGAATTGATATCGGTAAAAAGCTATTTTGACCAAAGAATCAGCCTCGTGGTATAAGGTGATTTTAGGAATCAGAACTTTTCTATCTTTACTTGGCCCAGATAAAATTCGAGCTGAAATCGCCTTTTCCGTCAGTCCTTCTACTACTAATCTTGTCCCGTTGCATAGACCTGACTTTAGGTTCAAATTCCGCAATAAGACTAAAGGTACGCCAACTTTGATAGTGAGAGTGTGGTCGGGAAACCCTGGAGCATTTATACAGTTCAAATTTTCATGTGTCACTGCATATTGACATTCTTCGTCTGGCCGATCAATTGAGATTGAAGTAATTGGTTTCCCGGCTAATACTTCAACCATGTGCCTATTGATCTCCGTAGCATCTTTATTGAGAGGAGTCAAAATGACGTGTTCAGATAAGTACTGAGCATATGATTGGGAATTACTGGAAGCTATAGTTTTAACTTCACCAAAAGTTCGGTTCATTGCGGCGCAAAAGCATCGGCTTTTGTTGAGATGATTTTCAATTTCTATCGTCTTGAGTTGGATCCTATCAGTATCGAGGGCTTGAGTTTTCCCCTCACCAATTAAGAGCAATTCTGCCCCAAAGCTAGCGTTCGAATTATTAAAAGATCGATTTTCATCAAGACCTAGCCGTAGGTTATCTTTCAGTGTGAATTTAGATATAGTGTCCCATAAGTAGGAGGATTTCAGTGTTGCATTTTCAGCTCGGGGATAAACCCCAGGTTTGACCACAGGGAGCGTCTGGCGAAAATCTCCTGCAAAGATGATCATTTTGCCTCCAAAGGCCTCATCGACTTTCATCAACTCCCTTAAACTTCGATCCACCGTTTCGATTGCGTCTTTGTGCATGGAAATGGCTTCATCCCACACGATCAGGTCAGCCTTCTTGAGATTTCGGCCGACGGAATCAGTTTCAGTGAAACTGCAGGTCGAGGTAGTACTGAATTTCACAGGTATCCCAAGGCCTGAGTGCGCGGTCCGGCCATTTAGCAGTAAAAGGGCCGCAACCCCGGTTGACGCTACAGCTACTGGAACCCGATCCTCTAGAATGCATAGATCCATGATACAGTTCAAAAGAAATGTCTTGCCTGTCCCACCTGGCCCGTCAAGATAGTAAAGTTTGGCCGTAGGACTGATATGAGTAAAGAGCAATCGAATTGTGTCATGAAACAGCTTTTGGGCGGGGTTCAGCATGGCACTTGTAATTTCGTATCGTCTGGCAACATCGGCATTGGACCCCGCGGCTATCGTCTCCAATTCCAATGTACTGATAAAGTTGATTTGTTCACGGGACAGACGCAAACCGACTTGGTCAAGGCTCGAATTCATTTGATTTAGGATCTTGTCAATGTTATACAACGTTACTGCCTGGAGATTAGCATTGTTGTACGGTCCAAAACGACAGTCATCACGATACTTATGAGCCAAATCGTCACT